GTCTTCTGTTTTGAATCCTTTCCAYTTTATTGGTGGGTAAATTTCACTGGTAATTTGAGAGGGGATTTACAGTCTTATTCAGGAAARAATACTAACTGAAGTCAGAGGGACTTCATGCTTCATTGCTTTCCTGAATATATTGAGAGAGACTTCAGCATATGCTCAAATGTTTTCTTGRACTGGGAATTTAAAAAGGTTTATAAAATTAAAAGGCAATATCATTGTGGACATTATTAAAAATTCAGAATAGTGTCGTTATTATGTAGAGATTTTCTTCAGCAATATCACACACCACCATAAAATTTACTTTTTCAAGTAGCTCCCGTATAGTCATTACAATAATTGAATAGAAATAYAGTCACTGTTGTTCCAGAAACACTGACTTTTAATTTCACTATTTCACACAACTACTGGGTCAGACACACAGAACTGGGTATTTTACCTGTCTCACTTCWATCATGAATATCCTAACTTTATATACGACACTTTGTAGTAGAAGCAAATTAATTCTTGGACCTACTGGTAGTAAGTTTATACTTTGTATAAGAAAGTTTATTGACAATATTTAATGTTTCTGTTTGTGCAGCTCTTTCCACATTAACTCATTCTGAATTAAACATATATATATATATGATTTTTTTAAACAGCAGCAGGAATTTAATACGTATAGCCATAATGTTGATGAGATGTTAAGATTTTTCAGTGTCATGGCATCTTCCTATTACAGTGATGACTTCATTAGACACTGTGCACCAACAAATCAATAGCTGGTATTACTCACTAGCTGAAATGAAAAAACTAAAGCTAAATCAAGTAGTAACAGCAGTACTAAATAGCTTCTCATTATTTAATCCATACAACTTCTATGTCARCATTTTAAGTGCTACTACTATTCATTTTTGACTAGTAAAATTAAGACTTGATATAGCTAGGTAAATTCACATGCCTAAAATCTAAAGCTTTGTAAAATATCTCAAAAATATTCAAAATCAAGAATTCTATAGAAAGAAAACCCCATGCATCTTAAATAGTGAATATAGCATCTGCAAATAAAACAGATTATTATCTTTCAATGATACTAACAACAAGCAAATGTTTTTTGATGATGCTGCTCATTTAATCTGCTCGTGTATTTTCTGCAATTTAGGATGCATTGCTTAAGGTGGGATGGAGTACAATAAATACTCTTTTCAGGGGCCTGATTTTTTTTTAAACTATTGAAAAAAAATTTAGTACCACTTTAGTGCCACTGTTCAACATTCAATGACTCAAGTTCTCTCCAGTTCTCTCTTTTTGGTGTATTTTTGTGAAATACACCTTATCTCTGAGTAGGGAGGCGGGTAGGGGACAAGGAATAAAAACCAGTTAAAATAAAACAACTCCCACCTTTTTCTCGTTTGTGGATTAACATATCAGTAATTTAAGGAATTTAATATAACTATTTCAAAATATGGAAGAAGAAATGGCAAAATGAGARGAATTCTGAAAGTTTTTCAGATAACTGGAAATTCTTAAGAGGACTTTGTTGTTTGCCAGAACTAGTAAGYAGTCCCTGGCTTTCTTGTTTTGAGTCATTTTTATCATGCATAAMAATACATGGTGGTTCTGGGAAAAATATTCAGTTAGTTCTTCTGATCARCCTAGCTCTAAGTATTCCTTCTAAATCAGAAACTGTTCTGTACCTAAAAAAAAATATATGAAGTATTTAGATAGTACGCTTCCTGCTTATCTTTGGAAGTAACCTTGAAATATTTCTAGAATTATCCCTGTCAGAAATAGCCAAAAGGTTTTTTGTCAGTGATAGTGCTTGATTGACAACTTATTGGCAATATATATGCAATAAATGTGAGGAAGCTTTCTTCCAAGAAAGTGAGCAGGATTGCTGATCACATATCTAACAATTTCTTTTATYTAAAAATTATTGACAACTGATTTGTTCGATGTGCTCATGTATTGTACATGAAAAAAAATACATTTTCAGTCACACTGTCCTCATATTAGCTCTGTAATATTTTGACTTCAACTGATGTTTGGCAATTAGGAAGGAAGATATAATTAATATGCCAGTATATCTGACTGTTGGGAGTATTTTACTCATATTTGTAAAACTCTAGAAATTCTAACTGTCTTTAGAAATTCTAACTGTACTGTCTCTTACAGACAAATTGACTCCCCATTTTTCAAGTGTTTTATTTCATAAATATAGTTCCCTGTAAAAAYTAGTTATATTAATTATGACTCTTGCTTTTTTTTAGTAAAAGTTATCAATTTGCCGTTCATGAAAATGAGCTGTTCTTGTGTACTACTATAAGCATTTGTCAGTAGTTGTAGATTTCCCATTGTACTTCCTTCTCTTCCTCCACCGAAGAATGCCAGTATGACATGCTGTACATGGTGAATGAAGACACAAATTAAATGAATCTTGTAAGGCTTGTTTCCTTTAAAACAGTTCAATAATTGTTCATTTCTTATGTAAAGTAAGGACAAAGAATGTAAAATAACAGTAAAGCTTTCAACTGAAAGCTAGAAAARGGCAATAAAGTAATTAAAATTCCCATTTTSTTCACCTAACCTTATTTCCCAGAATGGTTTGTTAATGACTAGAAAGTAAGCAAAATGGGATCGATAACTCATCTCCTCTTTGYTGTAATCATTACCTAGAAGTCTTCTCTTTTAATCTTTTATCTCTMTTTAGCCTTTATTCTGCATATCAAAATCTTGTCACTTTCTGGATTATATGCTTCATACACTACAAAATACCCATCACTGATATAAGTATTGCTGATTGCAACTGAAATGTGTTCCAGCCTAAAGTTTTCATCCTATGAGATAAAGAGGTTTGAGGGAGAGAGAGGTTAGAGAAAAAGGTCACAGTAGACTACTTTCAGCATCTTTCAGGCTTTACAGAGCAATATATTATCAAGTGAAATCATTCAGACTGTTGGAAGAACAATTCAGGGCAGTTTACTGTCTCAGCTTCTTTCACAGGTGATATCCACTTATTTTAAAAGGTGACTTTATAAATTAATGTTGGTAATGCTGTAACTTCTCCACTTATTTGTTCTCTCTTCCTAAGTAAAAGGAAAYATTTTAAAGGCAGAGAGTAGGTGTATTTTTCTGCACTTTGTCTATCCACATCTGTTGAAACAGTAGAGAAAACAAAGCAGTAAGTTTCTGCTTTGACTCTGCCTATTCTGAACTGTGTGACTGTAAGAGGGGAAAAGGATGGATTTTTTTATGGAGGTTGAGGATTCAAGATTGTTTATCTGGTTGAATTCAGGCCTTCAGAGTTTTCATCTACTTCTCTGCAGATTGCAAGTCATCTTTCTATGAAATCATTGCTGCTTASAAATTTTAATGAAATTGTAAGAAATTTTAAGAAAATGTATCAAAACTGGGAACTGCTCATCAAAGAGACTCATGTTTCAACCTAAATGATTCTATGGCTCTATGTTATAAATTAAATTTTTGGCATTCAGTATAAGTAATTAAATTTGTTGTGATGTTTCTGTATTTATTTGCACACGTGCATATAAATACTTACCCTGCAAAATATGCATTGACAAACATGATGATATTTTAAACAATAAAGAGCCTAAAATTTCAGATACTTAATCAGATATTCTGTCATCATATTACTAGTTCTCTGTGCCAGCCAGCATGGAGTAGGAACTACTGTGTTTCAAGACAAAGTTGACATTTTTTCCTGAAGATTTTCTTTAAGTTAGCAGCATAATAAAGKGATTCCATGTGAAAGCATCCCAGTGTATAGTTACACACATGCAYGTAACTAAATCTGTTGAGTAAGTAATTGACAGGCATAATTAAAGAACAGCAATGCTTCWTAAATTATTTACAAAGCTTTCTCCCAAGCAGCAGCATGACAGAAGGGTTACATGTATGTTACCCAGCTGCACAGCAGAAAGGGAGCAGATATGTGTTCGTTTAAAATGTTTGCCTGATGTCTCACTGTGCTCTCTGAACGTGGCTCCCTGTGAGCTGGCTCTCTGCACAGTATGAACACAGTCACTCAGAGAGGCATGGTGCAATCTTCTGCCATTGTAAGCCTAAACTAAATCAGCCCTTGAAGAGTTTTGACATTATAGAGCCAGAACAGGAAATGGTTATTCTCTGAAACAGACCTGATTCTTCTTGGCTCTCATGTTACATGCCGATTCAAACGTTCCTCCTCCACTATTAAGTTCAGCATCTTGCTTAGTTGCTTTTGTGCCTCCTTCCTGCTGCTCTGGGGAGGTGCCTGGAGTTCTCTCACTCTGCTGTGAGCTTGGGGCGTCTACAGCTGTACCACACAAAAGGTAAAGATGAAAAAAAGCCAAAGGGAGAGTACAGGAAGGGCAAAAGTATTCACAGCTGGACAGGTGCTTTGCGCGTTCTGTGTCCAAAATGAAAGCTGCCCTTTGGCAAAACCTAAGCTTGTGCTTATCTAAGATTTAAGGCTTAAAATAGATACTTTTCTTTTGTGTCTGTGATGAAGATTAGGTCTCTCATCCATGCTGGAGCGCTTCAGCTAAGTTTAACTCTGTCTGTTGGAAAGACTTGCTCATATGATTATGGCACAGCTGTGGAAGCTGCTGCTGTTGTTTTGGTGGAGAATTTATAAGAAAACTTTGTGTAGAGAAAATATTTATTAATTTTTTTAAAATACATCCCTGGTAGAGTAAATTATGCCAGACCTGAAAGAAGGAATTACACAGCTGAACAGTTTCAGGGCACAAGTTCTTCAACAGCACAGGTCAAAGGCAGTGCTAATATAGGAGGCCAATGCCCCTCATCCCATTAACTGTATGTGTGGCTGGAAGTACAACAGACAAACACACAGCAAGCCTTATTTCTTGCTTTCTTCTCAAACAAATGTAATTGCAATAAATTACTTAACAGTTTTATTCTGGTATGTGAAAGCTGTGTGGTGTTGCTTACATTTGCTAATGCATTTTGGCCATACATTTATTTTAAAGTGTCTGTCTATATTTCTTTTCCAGGTACAGGTCCTCCGCAACGCAGGGGAGGAAGTGACCCTAACTGTGTCTTTTCTGAAAAGAGCACCTGCTTTTCTCAAACTGCCACTGAATGAAGATTGTGCATGTAAGCCTTTATTACCTGGCCAAAAAAACCCTCAATTCAACACTCGTGAACAGTTGTAGCTTGCAAAACTACTGTGCATTGAGGGCGATTGACAGCAGCTTTTATAATCAGCATTACTGCCTGAATATGAGTTGTTCCTATTTCCAGGGCTTCTGTAAACATTGATCTCAAGACAGAAATTGCTATCTTTGGYTGAAAATTAGATAAACAGGCATTTGGCTGTTGTGAATCAGCAGTGGCAGGTAAAAATGGTAGAATTACATTAGCTTGCAATAGCTCACATCCTGATGCMRGGTATTCAAAATCAGTTTTTCAGGMAGAATCAGACAGTATTTTAGCTTCAGGGAGYTTTTCTTTTAAATGTGAAAGTGAGATTATAATGTCTCAGGACTTAATTTTGCTGTTGAARATTCAGAGGCATTGGTAGAGATGTCTGTCTACCTAAGAATAAATTACTCCAGGATGATAAGTATTTTGTTTAAGTCCAAACTGACTTTTAGTCAAATAGCCCCTTGAGAGTCATAAAGAGACAGCTGTCTTCCTTTAATTATATTAAATTGTAAGTGTGGATGCATAATTATAGACAATTGCAGCATATCTAAGCATATTTTTATATCAGCCTGTGCCTTTTGCCACCTCTGCTTTCCTTCTGATTTTTGCTCCCTAAGAGAGTGAAATAAATTGCTCAAATTTTAGGCAATAAAACAATAAATATTTGATTTCAATTATTCTATCCTTTGATTTTAAGTTAGTAGGAATTTAATAAACTAAATTACAAAATATCATCTTATACAAACATTCGCTGGAATACTGTCTTGTTCTTTTGCCTATGTATTAAATTTAWGTGAAACAAGAAAAAAATTCAGAACACTCTATTCSTAAATAAAAGTGTGTCCTGGTACCTGCGTCCCTTTTATGAAAAGCTGTGGTACCACAGAGTATCCTGAATGATGCACAGGAGTGTTCATTTGCATGGATCCTATCATATCTCTTTTGAGATGTAGCACTGTAATTTCCTAAACCATTACAAGAATATTTAGAACTGTAAATGCTGASATAACCCTTTTCTTATCTCACAAGTTCCTTCGAGGAAAAACTGAGAAGGTGCACACTTCCCCTTTATTTTCAAATTTGAAAGMAACTTTGTGGTTTGTTTTCCTTACCAAGCAGATGCTAACTATTTTTATGTAAAACAGCAGGGGAGGTTTTCTTGAGCCTCTGTGTAGCTTACAAAGTCATTTCCCTCAAGSCAGAAGACAGATACTGGGTGAACGGAGAAAATAAATGAATGTTATTTATGATAGAAGTTATCTGGGGGTGGGGAGAATGCATACATATGTATATAAATTTGATTTATGGCATCATAGATTAATGAAGATTTTTTTTGGTGAATTTGTATTTGTTTTAGGTGCCCCCAGTGACCAAAGCAGTGGCACATCCTCTCCCCTATGTGACAGTGGCTTGCATCTCAACTACCACCCCAACAACACGGTAAGAGCTTGAATCTCCTTGATGGAATTACACAGAAGAATAGTGAAAGTATGATAGCTAAATTGAAGTTCTAATAAAGGACAGCAGTAGGAGAGGAGTTTTAGCTAACTCTGAAAACAGAGTAGCCAGAGATATTATGCCTCATAATTAAACTAAGACAAATTATTACAGCTGAGATTGTACCTTGATACATGTGATTACTGTTTACTTAGGCAATACGGATTTTGAATAAGTTTTTTCTTCTACATTATTTCCTCTGCATAGGAATTAAAATTCTTAAAATGAAAAWAAATCCATTAATAAAAATGGAAGGAAGATTTTTGAGAATATTTTTCCATTGCTTATATCACATGCATTATTTAAAACTTTTGGCAGAAGATGATTAGGTGCATGCTTTTTTATGGTGAGAGTGTTTTACTTCTGGTAATGTACACTTAAAATCTTACTTGAAGTCTGATGGCATTATGGAGCAATCTCTCTGTGATAAATGCTATAGATGTCTGATCAGGTATTTACTAAAAGATTCATTTGAAGTGCAACAAGGGACTTCAAAAATTTTTCTTAGCCAGAAAATGCAAAATTTCCTTGATTTTATATAGTTCTAAAGGGTAGTTTGCTGAGTATTTGGCTTTGTGATAGATGAAAATAAAAAAAATCACAGAACAAATAAACCAGTGTAGATAATAATTATTTTWAAAAAGTTAAAACCTGAGATGTAAACCTTGTTGAACAGCCATTTCTAATTTCCATTTTTTATTGTACTTTCATATTTTACTATAAAAGATTTTAACAGCAGCCCTCAGATTTAAATATTAATGCCGCAGGTTTAAACCTGATTATTATCTGGAAAAGCTTTCGGAATTATACAAATTTTAGGACCTGGAATTTATAAATAAATAACRCCAATAAAATTGAGATCAAATAACAGTAAAAATTTGTGTAACTAGTGCAGCAACACCAAAAGCAGACTTGTCTCAGCAGTCTATATAGGTGTGCATGTATGTATGTATGTAAAAAGGCAGTAGATCCTAAACTGATTTATTCTGGTAGCCGTTAGAATTCTAACTTTGCTTTTATGATAAAAAAGATGTTTTCATGTTTTTGTGTATTCTTTTTCTTCAGGTTAAAATGGATCTAGATGAGCTATAGTTTCTATTTGAACTGGTTATAATTTACTGAAACCAAATGTCTTTCTTTCAGTTTAAATAATATAATCTGATATCACAAGTCTATAATTCACCCTAAATTAAATTCTTCTAATGAAGACTAAGATTTGGTTCTTATCTCAGATGTCCCTTTGTCATGGGAACAGAATTCTTTGTGAAACCAACGCAGACCTCTGTATGAATGCCTAATATACAACTCATATGCCACAGTTGTTCCTTTTTCTTAGAATATTTTCTAGAAGGAGTTATGAAAGCTGGATAAGCACATATGGTAGGTGAGAGACTGCCTCATGSGTTGGACACAAAGAGTTACAATGAACAGAACGACATCTGGGTGGTGACTGGTCACTAGTGCCATTCTGCAAGGCTGCATTTTAGGCCCAGTGCTCATCAGCATTTGGGTTTAGGACTCAAAGGGATGCTAACTAAGTTTGCAGATGATAAAAATTGGGAGGAGCTGTTGATGTCTTTGAAGGGAGAGAGGCCTTGCACAGAGACATCAACAAATTTGAAGGTTGGGCATTTACCAACCATATGAAGTTTAACAAGGGCAAGAGCAGCCTTCTGCATCTGGAAGGGGCAAATCCTGGATGTATGGACAGACTAGGGAATGAAGGGCTGGAAGGCAGWGTCAAAGAAGGGGATCTGGSGGTCCTGGCCCATGGCAAGTTGAACACGAGYCAGCAGTGCCCTGGCAGCCAGGAGGGCCAGCCATGACCTGGGGGCATCAGGAACAGCATCASCAGCCRGGCATGGGAGGGGATKGACCCGCTCTGCTCTGACCTGGGGCAGAGGACTCACCTCRAGTGCTGGGGGCAGTKTTGGTGCCGCAAGATAAAACRGATACAAATRTGTTAGAGAGCACCAAAGGAGGTYAGCAAAGATGGTGAAGGGTTTGGAGGGGAAGCCRTGTGAGCAGAGGYTGAGGTCACTTGGTCTGTTCAGCCTGGAMGAGATGGARGGGAGACCTCATTGCAGCCTGCAACTTCCTTGTGAGGGGAAGCAGAGGCAGACACTGATCTSTTCTSTYTGGTGACCAGTGACAGGACCTGAGGGAAYRSCCTGAAGCTGTGGTARGGGAGGTTTAGGCTGCATATTAGAAAACTGTTTCACTGAGAGGGTGGTTGAGCCCTGGAATAGGTTCTTCAGGGGAATGGTCACAGCACCTGTTGGAGTGCAAGAAGAGTGAAAAATACTCTCAGGCACATTGTGAGATTGTTGGGGATGTCTTGTGTGAGACCAGGCGTTGGACTTGATGATCCTTTTGGGTCCCTTCCAACTCAGAAATTCCATGATTCTGTGACTTACAGCCATAGTCTTGTTTCATTATTTGTAGTCTTGTTAATTCACAGGAAGGAGACTTTTGACTTAGAACTGGGAGTAGACAAGACTAGTTTTGGGCTTTTGTCAACAGTTCAAAGAGTTATGCAGTCTAAAGGTAGGGTTAACATTTTTGCTGCAATTGTGTCTAGGCCTACAGTTTGTATCTGAACTGCAACTTCATTTCATCATTTCCCCCAAGTTTAATTGCAGGTGAAGAAAGGTTCCCAAAAGCAGACAGAAAACATTAAAAATGCAAAAWGTTCAAAACAACATCCTAACRTAGTCTTCCTAGCCAATCATTTATTTATTTTTATTTAATTTGTGGAATGCTTCATCAGAGATTCAATGTTTTAAATAAGTGAACGACCTATGAAAAACCTRCTGTTCAGGGTAACATGGTATTTTGTTTCATATGCATAAAAGATATATTAACATATATGTAAAAGTAGAGTTCAAATTGGAAAATACTTATAATTCCATAGATCTTACACAAAAATCACACTCTGGAGAATTAGATGTTCATTTTTGTAATATTTATAGTGTAGAAGACACCAGTAAGAAATATTAAATCTGAGATTTAAAAAAATGTAAATCATGCAGAATCAGCAGGTGTAGTGTTACTAATATATTTATGTACTGTCACTTGGATCAGAGGCTGACTTCCCYACATGACYACAGCCTCCTTTCAGGCAGTTGTGGAGAGCAATAAGGTCATTCCTGAGCCTTCCTTTCTCCAGGCAAAACAACCTCAGCTCCCTCAGCTGCTCCTCAAAGGACTTGTGCTCCAGACCCTTTACCAACCTTGTTGCCCTTGTCTGGACTCTCTCTAACACCTCAATGTCCTTCTTGAAGTGAGGGACCCAAAACTGAACATGGGACTTGAACTGTGGCCTCACCAGTGCTGAGTGCAGGTCAACGATCACTGCCCTGGTCCTGCCAGATGCACTGTTTTTGCAGACCAGGATGCCAATGCCCATCTTGACCAGCTGGGCASAGCTGGATCATGTTCAGCTGCTGTCAACCAGCATCCCCAGGTCCTTTCATCAGGCATCTTTTCAGCCATTATAAACATGATGAAGTTCAGTTTTCATATAAGCAATGTCTTGTGTTAGTAGGTAAAATTAAAATATTCATCACAAATATGTAGTTTTGACAATTTTGACAATTTTCATCACWTGTTGAATCCCATTCCCAATTATCAGGTACCATTAGAATAGATATGTATGTAAATGTGGACAGGGCCACAGGAAACAACTGAATTATGTTTGTATGGTGAATAATTTAGAGATCCTCTTCAGAACATTTCCAGCTCTCACTAAAACTGATGACAAGTGATTCGGAAAAAGTGGAACACTGCCAAATGAAGTATRAAGTCTTTGAAGTCTATCTCTTTCTTTCCATATCTTCTGAGTACTTACATTAAAGTTCAAACCTGAGAAGGACCTTTTAATGTTTTTCAGGATACATTATCATGTTCCTCATGGCCAGCATCCCCAGGACTTAGGTGGGAAAAAAGGTGGTGTGATCTTCGATTGATTCCACTTCTTCATTCACGATTTTCCCAGTACCTTCCAGGATCAGATTTGTGCAGGTAAAGAAATTCAGAAAGTTRAAACTTGRCTGCTTGGTTGACAGATGCATGCCSTARGGAGTTGCCTTGTTAGAGAAATTGCATTATCAGTTCCACTCTAGCTGCCAGAGACATGAAACACAGGAGCTTTCATAAAGGTCTGCCTAGGTCCACCTTGGCTCATATTCTCCTCTGACATCAGCTGGGAGCAGGTATGTGGGGAGATGATGGATGATCTTCCTATTTGCATCTCGTGCTCAGCACCTTTCACAGTTTGAGATGAAACTTTGGTCATCATATTTAATAAGTGCTAATGCTCCTGCCCTTAAAAGCTTCTTTCTAAGTTGCTTTTATTTATGCCTTTGATTTTTGCAATGCATTATGGCATTGAGCTCTGCACTGTGATTATGTTTTTAAAAAGTATTTCCTTCTGTCTGTGTTAACTACTTCATCKGATAACTATATTAGATGAAATAATCTTGTTTGGGAGCAGCAAGGGCTGACTGCCCCACGGGGAAGATGGGCCAAGAGAGAGGGTGGCAGTGAGGATGGACAAGGCACTGTCCATGCAGGCAAAGACCCTATCCTGCTGCTCCCCAACGAGCAGCAGAGAAGACTTAGGAACAGTCTTCAGAGGAGTCCATCATGGTCAGGTGGGGTCAGTAAGCTGGAAGTTCAGCCTTCAGGTCCAAATCAGTGGGATACATGTCCAGGCACAGGAGTAGCTGCAGCCAGACTCAGGTGAGGACCATGAGCAAGAGCCTGAGCTGATAAGCAGCTCCCAGCTCCTGTACTTCTTTGCTTCATTTTTATAGCTACAGTAGGGATTTTTTTGTTTGTTTGTTTCCATATAGCTAAGGTTATTTTTTCCCATATTTTACTTTGCATGTGTTAACATTTAATTTTGTTGCAAATTTGTTGCAATCACTGGGATAGCTGTCCAAAATTCATAGTGCAGTTTAACTTTATGGCATCATTGTTGTGGGTTAACCATGGCTGGATGCCAAGTGTCAACCAAGCTTCTCTACCACTCCTCTCCTCGACAAGATGAAGAGAAAGAAAATAAGATGGAAATAATYTGGTGAGTCAAGATAAAGGCAGGTTAGTAAAGCAAAAACAAAGGCCACACATAGAAGCAAAAAMCCCAAAATRYTTATTTTCTACTTCCCATCAGCAGGCAGTGTTCAGCCACAACCTGGGAAGGAGGGCTTTGGTCTATTTAGTAGTTGCTCTGGAAGATAAGTGTCATAATTAATTAATGCCCTCCCTCCTCTTCCTTTCTCCTAGCTTCCATTGCTGAGCAGMTGTCCCATGGTATGGAATATACCTTTGGTCAGTTTGRGTCAGCTGTCCTGGCTATTCCCCCTATCAAGATTTTGTTTTCCCAGCCTACTGGTGAGRAGGGAATGTTGGAGAGACAGTTCTGATGCTGTGCCAACACTGCTCAAACAGTAGCCAAAACACTGCTGTGTAATCAATATCTTTCTAGCTACCAATACAAAGCACAACAATATGAGGGCTGCTGTGGGGAAAATTAAATTCATCTCAGAAAGACCTAATACAGACTTAGAACTTGTCATTGTTTAATTTAATATTACCCTAATAAATCGCAAGAAATCAAGAATGAAGACAAAAATATTCTGTAATGATTACTGTTTATAAAGCAATTAAATAGAAATTAAAGTAGTTACCAAGTCCAGCAAGGCAAGTATATAAGATCATGMTTGTCAAAAGTTGTAAATATCCAGGTATGTATGGATTAATCTATGTATATATAAGAATTATATATAAGTTCTCATACTGAAATACTTCTGTGAGCTCCAGTATGTAAGAGCATTAACTGGAGGAAAGCTGCGTACAGGTACAAAGCATATTACTACATAGTTTCTTCTTCTAATCAATCACCTAGGAGTGGATATATTAAATTCCCCAGAAAATGGGGCAAGAGAAGTCTTYTTCAATCTGTTTGGGCTCTTAGTGGAGTTAATTTTTCTGTTTCTTATCACAGGCTGCTTCCTTCTCATTGGTASTCAGTAAACATTTGAAAGTGGTGCAAAAGCCATCCACCACCTCAGTTGGTTCTTAGGGCTCTTGTTTCTTGGAATTACACTGCCAAGGCCTGCCAGCCATTTCTCCAATTCCCAGAGCTGAAATTAATGCAGGTTAGGCAGTAGCTGTTGTAGATCTTTGTGGAGCTAAAGCCAGCCTGTAGCTTTTGATCTGTAATAGCAGGATCGTATTTACTGGGCTGTATGAACCTCGGTCTGTTGGGGAGCAATGGCTGGCCCAGGGAGGCAAAGGGTAAACCAAAGGCTACAGAGGCTTCTTGGCTGAACTGAACTGGAACAGGATAAACTCACCACAGAGGCAGGTGAATTTTACTAAATTCTGTGAAAGCCTTCAGCTCYATATTTAACATGAAGCAAAAAGGGCCCAAAATCAAAACAGTCAATTCTGACCTCTATTCTACTGTATACTTCAGATAAGGTAGTGAATTGAATAGARCTACTCACATGGAAAATTAGCTTATATTCAACTGCTCATAGATCTAGGCATTTAAAATTCAATCTTCTGCATTGATTAAAAACAAGCTTAAAGAGCTTACTAAAGAACTTATACATAACAAAGCAAGTTTCTTAGGTGGTAATGATTTTCCTGAGATTGGAATTTCTAGACAATAAATGTAGGAACTCAGACTTGAATAATTACTCTGATAATTTTCTCCTTATGTCCTTCTAGTCTGTCTAACATGATGAAGTAAGAGTACTTAAAACCAACAAAAATGCAGGATGCATTTGAGAGAGGAATTGGAATTTCCTTGTAGCATAGAACCAACATTTTCTATTGCTAGCAAGACAGTTTATAAGACTGTTTTAAATGACTGTTAAAATTTTTAAATGTTGCTCCCTCTCAGAATTTGTTATGAAAGGTAGATACTTTTTAAAAGAGACTGCTATAAACAGCAACATAAAAGAAGGGATATTAAAATAATATAAGGAAGCAACATGAAATAAAAGCTAATTCTTTACATTTTCTGTAGTTAGTATTTACAAGGCTRTTTTCACTATGTAAAACTTAATAAATTACTGCTTTTCAGAGCTTGATATGGAAATACATCATTCTTGCATACAACATTAAACCTAATAGTCATATTCTAGCTTTTCCAGTGGGATGCTTGAGACATATAAATTCTGTATTCATACAGAATTCTACAAGACATTCAGATTGATCTTGGAAAGCTTATTGATTTCAAATATAGCCTTTGAGTTCCAGAAAACACGGAACCTGAAATGTACTTGAAAAAGTGTTAATCCAATCCCCTTTTTTGTGTGTGTGTATTATAAAGTGATTAATCTACTATTTGCTCCATTTAGTACAAAATGTGTTTAATACATTATATTTTCAGGTGTTATGGACTTGAGCTGGTAGACTCATTCTAGAAAATACTATTACAATAGTATTACAATAGTAGTCTAAAGCTAGACTACTGCSAAGACACATTCACAAGTAATTTATCAGGTAACCAAGTATCACAYTGTCTGTGTTTATTGATACTTGAGTAATAACATTATGGATTAATGGTTTTTGTACTTGCACCGATCAAATTCCTAGGAACAGYAGGAACAATCTGATGCCCCAAATGCACGAGATTCACTGTGTAAGGGAAATTTGTGCATCAGGATTGAATCTGGAACCTATTTGGGGTTTTTGTGCTTGAGTTTGTGTCACATATTAATAGAGTTCTTGGTTCTTTGCTTTGGTTTACAATAGACTATAGAAACSAGGTGAGGCCTGAAATTAGTTCTGTTTTTCTTAAAAGACATGATCAACAATTTTGAGCCCATGCTTTGGCCTTCAYGTAAGTACTTAGAAATTTGTTCAAGGTTCTTTAAACAAATTTTCCTCAAATTTTTATCAGAATTATTGTGAAAATGACTCTTTAAAACAAGTCTGTCTTGGTTAGGGGTTTTTGGGAATTTAAATAAAAATCACTGCCCATGACAACTAATGGATTTAAATAAACCACAGATCCCTGCAAGATGGTATTAATGTAAACTTCATTATTCTGCAAAAGCTGGTTCTTATGCTGGAACTCCTAAAGCAAAGGCATGGCTCCAGTTCATTTTTATTGCTTCTCCTGACTGAAGAAACAGTCTGTTCTCAACATGGATGCCGTGAAGATAGATACTAGCCTTGCATTCTATACAGCTAGAATAAAATTTTGAGAGGTAAAAAACCCCAAACAAACATATTTTCAAAATTTATATCTGTCTTCAGATGTCAGAAACTTTCAATAGTGACACTCAAGCTTTACCCTGAAGATAGGATGTACTTTGTTTGAGCCATTCTCAAAGAATCTGAATGATGTAYTTAATCTTAAACCATGAATTGATCATTAACAGTTGGATTTGTAGACAAATGTGAGCAGTGGAACCCGGTATTCTCTGAATGTTCAGTAATGTCCTACTCTGGGATATGGATTAATATTGAAGTTTTTTGGTTTTAAAGCCAGAGACCTGTGAGACTTACAAGGGCTTTTAGCAAATTAGGCTGTTTACTGAAGAAATTAGGTCTGTTACTGCTTTAGCATCTGAAAATGTTCTCTTGTTCTGTAATTGCTCACTGCTTGGAAGTGGAAAATCAGTCTATAAAGCATGATGGATTTTTGTAAATTTGCCCAGATTGGTCCTGAGATAGAGGCAGAGGTAGCAGTGTATTTTGGTAATGATCCTATATTCAGAAATGCAATTGAAAATATCATTAATGCTGCCTGATCATTTTTGAGTTCTCCAACTTTTCAATCAGTCATTCAAAGAGGAACAAAATTCCATGAGCATGAGCAGCCAACAAGGGGCATCCAGACACTAATCTGTGTTTAGATACTGGATTATAAAAAGGAAACAAAGGTGTTTAGAAAAAGATACTGGTATCTACTGAATTTCCCAAATTATTGCCTTTGGTTTCCAATGCACACTTCCCTTCTCTGTAGCCTGCTGTATTAAAGTGTTAAGTCTTAYATGTGCAACTGCTCTTTCACTTGCTCCGCTTCTGAAGTTCTACAGCCTGATGGTTAAGGTTCTGTGGAATTTTTTTATAGCTTTATGGGTACTTAATATTGTCTGAGTTGACCTTTTAGCATGATCCTTTCAAGATGTCAGGTATTTATGGAACAGGAAAACCGGCATTTTMTTGGTGTTCAGTGGCTGACCTTCATTGTAGTTGAAAGAAAAACATTTSTACAAGTGTTAAGATGATACGCTAGAACAGATAAAATTTTCTTCTGACCTGATCTGTTATGATATGTCTATAGGCAAAATGCGTTCCAAGTAATTGCTGTGGATGGGGTTTGCAGTGGAATAATTCAGTGTCTCTCTGCTGAAGACTGTATTGACTGGCTACAAGCAATAGCAAGTAACATTTCCAACCTCACAAAGCACAATGTAAGTATGGATCCAAGTAAGCCAGAAGGTTTCCCAATCACATTTGATTATTGCTGTCATAAAAGCCTAATGGGTTCACACACAGAATTATCTGCATATAAACAATGCTTGAGGCTGTCTGAAAGAAGTCAACTCAAGTTTGTCGTCAAATCAGACTCTGTGAGAAATCATTGAATGGGAAAATATTCTTYCCTACGGTCATGTAGTTCACTTCAGCGCTATCAGAGTTATTCACTTCTTAGCAATATCAATTAGGATTAGAAGCAAAGACCAGAGGAAGCCAGGTGAACACATAAAATACAAAAATACTGTACTCTCTTCATAGCTTGAGAAAGCCCTTCTCTRTGGAAACTGGTATAAACAGATAGATCTGATTTAGATTTTAGGTCTGTTTAGGTGTCATTTTGCATGATGGGAAGGGCAAGGTGCTTCTGTGGTGTGTTATAAATTCAGATGTTATATCAGCAATGATTAAATGCATTTATGCTTCATGCACTGCACTCTTAGGATATGTGMTTGTGGGATAAATACCTCTTTTTATTGAAGCAGGAATAAATGTTATGTAAAAGTTTTTCCAAACAGCTAAGTTCAATTGAGGGGTGTTCTAGACCTGCCTGGGATGTGTTTACATTCAAAACTGTAAACATGTAGTTCTCCCTGTAGAAATTCATATGATATCTTCTCTGGTTCTCCTCAAAAATAGAGAACACAKGGGGAGCTCCATTATTTTGAGTTGAGTTATAACAAGGAAGCCCTTGAGTATTTAATTTGTATTCTCTCAGGTTTCCTTAAATCTGCTTTAGCTTCCCAAATCTGTCTCTGAATTTGCTTTTGTTTCAAATATAGGGAACACATTGAAGGAAGTTGTATTTCTTGGAGATTTATAATCAAGATGCARAACTATGTTCCATCTGGCAGCAATATGTAAAAGTCATTGTATTATAAAAACATGACAGACATGAATTCATCTGCCATCTGCAAGCTTCCATGCAGTACCAGTGAACTTTATGGCTATTTATTCATCCTTAAAATGCTGTTGCTATGTAGAACCTTTCTCGTATCACTAGGCATCCTGACTATTGAGGCTTCTGTTCTTCTTTTTTTCTCTTACCATCTTTACTTCAGTCTACTAATGGTTCTTGCTACTTAAATCAGTGTATTTGTTTGTAAYAATAGACAGAGGCACCTAAATTTTACAGGTGTTTTTAAACACTTTACCTCTGATGAGACTATAATTATGGTCATTTAGCATAACTTGAGTTTTGGCAATGCAATGTTCTTATATGATTTTTTTTTTTCTCTCAAGTATGGGTTATAACTCTACACTAGTTTGCATAAAATACAGAAAGAGYTTATCTAATATTTTGTATGAGGTAAATAGCCTGAATTGTGTGACTGTGATGCCAGTCTTTGTACTTACTTTACCCCAAAGACATCCTGTAAAGTAGCCGTGAGAGTTAGGGCTTATGATAATTATCCATAGTCTATTTTTAGAGCTGTCCTATTTGTTCATGGACAAATGTTCATGGCTGTTTAGGACAGCCCTTATGAATTTATGGAAAACAATGACACTCTCTTTCCTGTAATATACTTTTCTTTTAAATTGTCAGTTGCCAGAAAGAATTACTTATCTGACAGCATACGTGATAAGTGAATATAAGAAACATTAGGAACACAGAGGGGGAAAAAAGCAAACTGTTGCACAGAGGAATGATTAGATGCAATTAGAGGTCCCTGTATTTTCTTTCTTTACAAGATGGTTATTGACATRCACATACTGTTGATGTTAGCATTTTTTCCTCTGAGAGAAGCATTTATTCATAGGCATTCTCCCTTACTGTGTCATTTAGTGCCAAAGAAGCAGAGACTAAAGGAATTTATTTAATTCTTTGGACAAATTGACTGATTTTTAGTTTCAATTAACTTCTCACCTCTATGTGGGGGTTATAGAAAATACTTTGTTTCATATAAATACCATGTACCTCATGGGTATGTTAACTTACATGCTGTTTCTCATATCCGTCTACCTAATGAAAAAGAAGGAAGCAGAAAGAAAGCAGAAAAGAAGAATATGACAACTAGATTGTTTCTGAAAGCAATTCCTTTACCAGTGTATCAAGTCTGAGCTCCATAGATTTTGGTGGGATTTCTCTTGCCTAACATTAGGTGTCTTAAAGCAGAATATCTGAAGAGTGAATCTTATTATTTATTGTTGATGTCTATTTTATAATGAAATCAATTCTCTCATGATATGTCTGTCTTTCCTTTGACTGGTAAGGGACCCTAGGGTGGTGAGTTCATACTTGATACCAAAAGATATATATGAATAAATCTCCCAAAGAAACGCCTGGATATTTTTGACCAAAACCAAAAATGAAACAAAAAAACCCCACAAGGTACAAACAAAACAATAAAAAAAGCCCACAAGCAAACTCCAAAAACCAAACAAACAAAAGCAAACAGAAAAACCCAAAACCTGAAAGCATACTAGTTTCAATCAGAAAATCTGAATTATTTTACTTTGTCACACACAAACTGGCTGAAAAAATTATTTAGTGGTTCAAATGCCAAAAGTGCGACTAAAAAGTCCTGTGTTCCCACATGTTTCTAATAATTGTGAAATTTGGGTTCCTGGCTCCAAAATACCTTGTTGAACTTGCAGTCAATTAAATTTATGTAAGGATGATGTCAAAAACTCTTCTCTCATGATCTAATATGTCCCCATCTGAAACAAAGATGATGTGACTCARTTGCAGGATCAGCAGTGTAGCCAGTATCTACCAGAGAGCAAGATAAAAAAAAATGCAGGAGTAGAAGCAAAACCAAAGTGCACTGGCATCATGACCATTTTTGAAAGGCAGTGTTGCTAACTGAATGGAGGCTGGAAGATGGTGTCTGCAGGCAAACACATTTTTCCTGCAGTTGTTAGACTACAAGTCWTTGTAAGATATGAGATAGAACTCAGAGATGTATTAAAAAAAATTTATATGTATACTGATATAGTTTACTTATTTCAGATTTTCATCAAAAGTCAGACCTCAGGTATGGGCTCTTTTTCCTCATCTTCAGGAGGCTAGCACAAGTGTCCTCCAGTGCTTTAAGAATGAGAGTGATAACWGCTAATTTTAATTTCTTTAGCTCCCAAGAAGCTCTCTCTTACACAAGATGAAATATATTAAAATTAAACAACATTGGTATGCAACCAAAACCAGAACACATCCTATATAAACGCACTGTGGGAAGTGACTTAATGTCACACTGTAATTGATGAGGTAATGAATCKATAAAGATCATTCATTTCTCAAGAKGGACTCCTCTCCAACTTGGGTYACTTGAATTGCATCTGAGTTAAAAAATCATCAGTTTTATCAATAGACTCAAAAACCAGAATGATTATATTAAACCTGAAGTTTAGTCTAAGCAATCCTGATACTGAAGTTCATGTGCTGAAATCTGAAATGTTAAATTGAACTTGGGCTTGGGAACTCTAATTCCTCTATGAACTGATGAGGTTCTACATTTTTTTGTTGCCAATTTGGATGGCTGGCTAAAACCAATTAAAAAGGGAACAAGCTGCTGCTTCTTTTCTTGCTCATGGTCCAGGTAGCAATTTTCAATTTAGYTATTCCAATTCAGCTATGAACTATTTGCGTTTCCGTGAACTTTTAAATTGTATTACTTTTGGTGGTAATTGATACTGATTTCTAGTCTTTAACATCTCYTGTGAAGGGATTTTAGGATGACAGTATCCAATAAGTCATGTAGCTTTTAAAGAAATTACACTCTGGAAGAGTCTAAGAAAATAATCCAAAATCGTGTGCTCTATAAAAACCCACCAATTGCCAATACATCCGTAACTCATGWGCTGCAATTGTCAAGAAAATTAAAGGCAAGTTTTTTAATGGCTTTAGTACAGTAAAAGTCAGACATTTTAGGTCTTTGCAATAAAAGAATAATAATTTAAAAAAAAGCATTTTGAGTTAACAACGTCTAGGTTGTAGCTTCGTAGAATCTTTAGGGATTTATCCTCCCAACTCAGTATTTGTCACTTGCCCATTGCTTTCYCTGTGGCAGATTTTTCTATAGTGAGGGCAATAATATTTCTTTTCCTTTCCTCTTTCATCATTTCTGTGAGGCATATTGCAGCAGTTGCACGTTTATGCTTCTTACCTTGAAGCCAGCACTTGACAGCAAAGAAACAACATGAACTTCATCAGACAGGAATGACAGGCAGCTGAGGTAAAGTTGCTAAGCTGGAGGTGGCAAAAAGTTTAAGATTATCTTGAAAATGCCCGCAAGATCTTACAAGATTTARTTCACAGTAACTTCACTTTATTCCCATTATGTTTCATTTTTCTGGGTAAAATAATGTATTTGTRAAATTAATGAGGCRCACATAGCTGGTGGTAGATGCATAAMAATAGCATGAAAGATGTAGGATTAAGAGCTCTTCAAACTGARGATTGGCACAATGTATATATTTTCCAGAACCTAAGCCTTCGTTTTAAACAAAGTTTAAAAGTTCAATTGAACTTTAATTGTATGCTTAAAAAGTAGTGCCTAGTGAAAGAAACTGCTGCTAAGACACCAAATATATTTCTTTCACTTTCACTGGAAAAAAGGAGATGATAATGCCGTAATCTTTACAGTGCTGGAGTTTGGGTACAGGGATTCTTTAAGCCGCTAAGTAGAAGAGGAGACAAAGAGTACAAAACAGGAGAAAAATGTAATTACATTAGTACAATCTGTTCCACTCATAGGGTAAATAAAATTCCACAGGACTACATTCAGTGTTAGTAAATTATTGAAAGAAATTAGTAGAAATGTTTCATTTCTGYTGGTGATGCTACCACCAGTAAGAACATACAGTGGAATGTTATATTACATGAAAAAAATCTGTGTCACTCACATGAATTGAACAGATTTCATATTTTAATTTTTTTAGTTAAAATACAATGCCAAATCATCAAAATGCTCTATTATTAGTAATTTTGGAGTTT